CCGGTCGGAATTCGAGTTTAGTTATAGTTATATTTGGTGGGCGCTAGGTGAAGACCAACTCAAGGTGAGCTAGACGAAGGCGATCGCCTAGGCAGCGGGGCATCTCCGCAGCTAGGCAACTAGGCAGCTAGGCGCCTCGACACCTGGGCAGCTAGGCACCTCGGCACCTAGAGAGCCAGGCACCTCGGCACTTAGGCAGCTAGGCACCTCGGCACCTAGGCAGCTAGGCCAAAGGGTTCGGCCGAGGTAACCAGATCCCAACGATGGCTTCGTGGCCAAGTCACAAGGAAGTTTGTAGTGATAAGCACTCTGAAGTTCTGGGTATCTTCGACCTAATTTAGAGATAAACACGAGGAAGACTTCCAGAACAACTAGGACTCTTCATGGCCTCACCTATAAAAAGGAACAGGTTCATTCATATTACACAACACACATACACATATTATCTCGTTACTCTGCCGTTTTCTCTCCGAAACACCACCACTGACTTGAGCGTCGGAGTGTCCACGCCGGGACCACCCCCGGCGTGTTTTGCAGGTACCGGCGATCGAGAAGGTTTAATTCGGTCCAAGAGGAGCGGTCGAGCGGTTCAGGTATTTGTGGTATAACAACGTTGCATTGCACTTGAGACATGATGGTCTTTGAGTCACTCGTCTTGAAGTCAAGAAATTTATTGACGACAAATTTCTTCACCCTGCATATCCTCAGTTTTGTACTTCTTCTCCAAGGCATTCCAAAGCTCCTTGGCAGAACCAATCAAGCTCCACACATTGTACAACTCGTTACTCAGTTCGTTCAGGACATAGTTCTAGCAAAGGTAATCACTTTGCACCCAAGCATCATATGCGGCGCGTAGCTCAGCACTGATTTTGTTTTCAGCCAAAATCGGGGGATCGTCCTTCAGATACTTCACCAAACCCAATGTGGTTTGGTAGAAGTCCATCTTCTGCTGCCAGCTCTTGAAGTCAAGTCCGTTGAATTTCTTGGGCTTTTCAGCGGTAGGGACATGGATAACAGGTACGGGATAATGATGAGGAACACTGGTGTTGATCGGTTGTTATTGCTGTTGGATTTGTTGAGTTTGCGAACCTTCTCCGGCGGATGCCATCAGTTCAATAGATGTAAGGTTATTCGTCTTGCGATTGTTACAACTATGTGTATCGATTACAACGAGATACCTATGAACTGAATATTGTGTTCTTTTATTTTGTACAACTTGAACTAAAAATAGAAAATAACAAAACACAAACTGAAGATGCGGGAAGAGAATCAACCGAGGCGACGGTTGCTCTTTTCGCAAGACGAATACGCCATGTAGTATGCTAACAGATTCAGACATCTCGTCCCCAAAGATACAATGACTACACCTCAGAATCTATATTACTTCAGACTTCTGAGCTCCGGCGAACTCGAACGGAGTCAAAAAAATTAGCAGTGTAAGTTATGATGCGTGAGGTTATTCTGAAGAGTAAAAATGAAGATGACCATGGACGGACCTACTTGAGGCCTGGGCTGCGCTGAAGCCCAGGCCTGTTATTTTTCTTTAACAGCTATTAGTTTGAAAAAAAAAAGTTATATTTTTAGCCTAGCCCAATAAATCAACCTACTAACCCAACAAAATAATTCACTTATCTATTAAGTTCAAAAACTACTAACAACACTCAAACAAAATATTATATATTGTTGTTCCACCTTTTCCACTAGGTACTAACCCATAAAACACCACTATACATTAGACTCTAATTAAATAAATTAACCACGGTCATGCCTCTCCTCCGAACACCGAAACAATGAATTTAGAAGAAAAAAAATTCAACAAGAAAGAGACTACTTTCATGAAGACGATTTAATTTCTTCTTTAATAGTTAGTTATATTTTTAAACCCCCTATTAGATATTTATTTCATTTGTCTAATTGTCTTTATCTATATTCTCATTTTAGTTGAGCTATTTAGAGTTTTAACAGTAATTGCTAGAATCATTTGGTTGCAATTCTTGTTTTGTTGATTGTGTATGAAGTAGCAATTTTGTGTGTGTGCATTTTTTTAATCTCTCATCCTCTAATGTGGTTGTTGTATATCATAGTTGGATATAATTTATGATGTGTAGGCATTTCATTTTGCTAATAACTATGTCATATAAAAAATCTATTTATTGGTATTGTGGAATTTTTAGAAATTCACATAGAGCGCCAACCTTCGGCCAAGAAAGGAAAACGCAATTGATATCATCGTTCTTTACAAAACGAGATCAACATTAAACTAGTGAAGGCACATTAAATACGGTGCAAAATGAGCATAATGCTTTTTTATAGAAGCTCGTCGAGCACAACTTCAATGAATATTTGAAGATAAAATATTATGTGATTTTTATGAAAATTAGTTTTTAAAATTTTAGCCCAATCTATTTCTAATTTCTAGATCCGTCCCTGAAGACTGCAACTCTAGAAAGGTCTTATTTATGGGACTTCTAGCTCATGTGGGAGATGACCACTGGTCTTCATCTTATAACAGCCAACTAGTAACAGCCACTAGTGGCTGCTGTATATGGGAAGTTTTAAGTTGTTAAGTCACCTTCACTCCACCTGATAACCACTGAAACTGTCAAGTGGATAGGCGAAAGGTCACACACATCCAAGTTCATTGTACCTGGAGAGGTCTCACACGGGTTGGGTCAAAACTCGAGTCGAACCCCAACTCGGTTTGGATTTTATCTTGGACTTCAGAACTGCAAATAAATTTACAGTAAAATGACTAAGCAGCAAGTACCAAGTACCAAAGACCATGGCCCAAGAACTAAGACCCAAAACTCAAGTACCAAATCCTAAGTCCCAAGCCTCGGTATGTGCCCATGGTCGTGCCCATGCCAGAGCCTGAGTCGAGTCGAGTAGAACTGACTGGCGAGCACAGACACGTGCGCGTGTGGCCAAGCCAACACCGACACTTGTTGCATAGCTTTGTTGTTATTGTGACATTTCAAACTCTCTTTATTATAATAAAGAGAATTAGTCTCATTTAAAAGTGCAATGTGTGAAATGATTTTTGACCTTTCAAATCCCACCACCATCGTTTTACGTGTCCATTTATGGCTAATTTTAATAGTTTATTTCTCACTCACTGAAAACCAGTTCTGAGAAAATAAATATATCACGAGTATCTAAAATTTTTCTACACAGTCTAATTCAACCCGAATAAAAATTCAGTCAAACCTTGGTTAAATCCAAGTTTTATAACTAATTTTTCCAACATTATATTAATTCAGAATCTCAAATTTATCTTACTTTTAAAACAATAACTTTGAACACTTTTCCCTCTTTATTTCTGACAAAACTTTTCGAGAAATTCTATATCAAATCCCACTCTACGAAACATTATTGCTATTTGTCACCAAAGCTAACATTAAAACTTCTCTTATGTATTATTTATTTTAAAACTATATTCTTGAAATATAAAGTTAGGTTTCATATAAATATTTATTAATTATAAATAAATTTCTATTCGGTATAAATAAACATCACTATACGGTGTTAGTATTAGTATATTTAAAATTGTTTTCTTAGTATTAGTATATTTAAAATTTCAAGTAATAAATTTATCATTTATAAATTTATGATTATTTTTATTTCAATTTATATATATATATAGATATATAAATAAAATGTATGAATAAACGTTCTCTTGCCCCCTTCTGTTACTATGCTTTATGCCAAGGTTCGATGTAATTGATGACTTACAATTCTATGACTTCACTTCACTTCGCTTCGCTCGTTCCCTCGTACCTCGTCCCTCTCCTTTCGCGTCTTCGTATCCTCGGGTTCTATCTTCGTAAAGCACCTGCCAGGCGGAGTTAAAATTATTTATATAATTAACACTTGAAAATAAGAGATAAATAAAACGTATTCTAAATATTAATTATAATTTATAAATAGGAACTTATTTAGATTATTTAAATTTTAGATATATATTAAATATTAAATACATTTTTTTAAGATATTATTACTTTTTGAAAAAAATAACTATAAATAACTATATTATGTTATTTTTATTCATTATTTTTTATTTATATATATTTAAATTTCTTGTATTCTAATTTATTTAATTAANTTCCGAAACGATAGAGAATTTATATAACAAACGCACAAATGTGCAAAGATACAACTTGGAACACAGCCCGAAGCTGAATAAAATGGGAGGACATGTCTGACGACCACCTAGAAGCTCGACTCTAGCAAACGCTAGAAACCAAAACAAGACGCTCAAGACAACAACACAACAAACACAAAGAAAAACTACAACGAAAAGCTCCCCACAGGAGAATAGAGATAGGAGCTGGTCCCAACAGGATAATAAATTGCTCCCGCACAAACTGAGGCCAACGACCCAAACCTAAAATACAGAACATAAGCACACAGACAAGGTATCCAGACCAAAGACACAATACTACCACAAAAACAACAAACACACAAAAAACAAAGGAGAGCAGACCAAACCGCAGAGAAAGTCGATGTCAAAGAATGATCCGAGTCCAGGAAACCGCTTTCGAAACTGCCACAAGGCCTATACAAAAGCCAAACTTGAACATGAACTAAACTCCGGAAGAACAAAAACAAAATCAACCCTCACACCAGCTCCAACCAAACCCGTCTAACACCACTAGTCGAGCTCGAGAGGAACCGATCCCCCGCCGCCTAACACCACTAGCCGAACGGAGAACGGTGAGGGTAGTTCGACCACTCGACGTCGGCCTCCCTGACATTGAAAATGCCTCGGCATCCAGAGCAGCGCCCCACCCATAGCAACATAACTCCGCGCATTCAAACCACCAACCCTACGTCGACCAGAGCCTGAACTCGTCGGAAGGCCGTGGCTCACCACTAAGATCCCCAGCAACCCCAATCTCAACCCAACACAACCAATAGACGGAAGCATACCTCAAGGGCGGCCCAAGAAGCCGGAGGATCGCTGTCGAAGATTCCGAGTTGGAGAGGCAAAGTCCCAAGCTATGACCGCCACAACTAAATTCGTTGCAACCGCCAGGGCCCCGACCCATCCACAGACCCTCGTCCCTCTCGACGCCACCACTGACCACCGAATCTGGCGACCAACCCACAAGGTTTCGCCTGAAAAGGCAAATTCGTCGATGGGAGGGATGTGACGATCTAGTAGCCTTCGGCAGCATCGGAGACAAAACGACATCCGGGATGGGCCGAGCAGTTGAGGACGACCGCAGGCCCGAGTCTGCCGCCGCTGAGGAAGGCCAGACGATGGAGGCTTATGTTAGTGTTATATACTGAAAGCTTGGCTTTGCATGTTATTACACATTTACCCTTTATGAATGAGAATCATGTTAGATTAAACAAGTTCTACGTTATGTTGTTCTGCACTTATACAGGGTGGGTCGTCATCGGGCAAACCTAAGATCACTCTATCAGTCACTTGCGAACAAGAATAGTTGTTCACAACGTAGATGGACATGAACACCCCATCCGAACGGTTGTAGTGTCAACTGTATAGTTTGTCTTAACTGATTAGTTGCACTAGTACATTTATGTATTGAACAGGATCCCAGAGATGAGAAGTTCATTTTATATTGATCGTCGTAAATGAACTAGGCCTCGGTTAATTACTGCATTCTCTTAACCCGTAAGATATTAAACATGCATATATATATATAATATATATTACTTTGATCCATATGGGTGAGGTTCAGTTCGCTGGATTAATATTCTTACTGTTTTGGGTAATATTATTATATATAGAATGTGGTGTTAGAATATTTACGGTCACCATGTGCGTTAGTTTGATGATGTCCCCGGAGTGAGTTCATGAAGGATTGTTATGTTAAACCCTGCAGGTGGATTAAGTTCCGGCATAATAAGAATGTGATGAACGAGCACTAGCTTCGGTGAAATAATAATAAATTAATTAATTCTTGATTGTCAGTAATCGAATTAATTAATGAACATTATATCTTAAACGTGGGGAGGTAAATCGAGTAATTATTATTGGAGTCTCAAATGTAATTTGGGCTAGGAAAAGGGAGTGCGATAATATAATGTTGGTGGCCCATTAATATTATTTAATTAATTAGAGGAGTGGGCTTGGCCCACAGTTAGTTTAATTAATCCGGGTGCCCTTTTCCTAATCTCCTACGGGTCCCTACTGTAGCTCTATATATACATCATTAACCTCATGAGAAGAGAATCCCAATCTCATTCTAACGAGACACGCCCCACGCCTCTCTCTCTCTCTCTAGATCTCATTCGAGCTTTATCTTCTTCTTGTTGCTCCACTGGTACAAGTAGAAGAAAGGTGTATTGAGTAATACAGTAGAAGATCTGTAGGTAAACAGAGACGAAATATATTTTGACCTACAGAACTAATCGGAAGTCCGATTAAGACGTACAGCATACCCAGACGACCGTCTCGACGAGAGCTTTCCATCGCAGCCGTCCGACGCTGCACGCGCCCTCACGCGCCGCCGAAAACTCCGAGGCTGCAAAGTTTCGTTTTGATCTGTTTGCATCCGTTTGATCCGATTTTGATCTGATCTTGTTCGTGCAACCCAAGACGTGATTTGCGGTCAATCAATTGTGGTCAACCATTCATGGTCAACCAGATCTACATAAATTTTAAGCCGTAAGTTCTCTACGTCAAACCTTTAGATCCGCTGCGCAGAGGTTTACGTTTGCTATTGAATTCGTGACTTGTACATAACGAGATCCTCATAGATCCCAACAAGTGGTATCAGAGCACTTAGTTAATTCGTTTTGTACAAAGTTCGAATTTTTACGACTCTATTTGACAAGATGTGTTCAAACGCAGCCATATATTGGTTTATATTTGCATAACTCGGCTTTGCAGGATAAATAGTTAATCCACTATTATGGCCGATTATGTGTTTGATGAATGTTGTTGAATGTGATGTATGGTTTTAAATTTGTTTTTAAAGCCTCGGGCATGTCGAGGAATTTATGGATGAATGTTTGTAATAATTATTCGCCCGGGGGTTGACCGGATAGATTTAATTATTTGTTTAGAAAACATGTACATCCATTCGTTGGATCTAGGATCGAATTATGTAATTTTGTAAATTATATTTTTCGTGTTGTGATCGTGTGTTGATGACCGGGAGATCACAAGAGATGAACGAGCCTCGAAAGAAAGAAAAAAAAAACGGTGGCTTTTTTCGGCGAACTGGCAGGCGGCGACCGGTGGCCGGCGGCGGCGGACTGGTGGCGGCAACTGGTGGTTCGTTTTTGCCTTGATGATCAAGCAGTACAAGATCAACCAGGATTCTACTGCTTAAAGGAGTTCCAATTGAACAGGGAAAGAATTGTCATAATTTCCTTGTTTAAGGAGACTTAATATTTAATGGCCATAATAGTGGATTTATTTATTTATTTAATTAAATTTATTATGTCATTAAATTATTATTTATGCATGTTAATTAATTATGTTCTTGCATGGGATTAATTTAGTATTGCAAGATTAATTATGCATGTTAAGTAATTATGTAATGCATAGGATTAATTTAGAATTGTGTCAATAAATTATGCATGTAATTAATTATTGCACTGTCATGTATTAATTTAGGATTGCATAATTTATTGTACATGTTAATTAATTATTGCATTGACATACCCCTCCATCGCATATATCCGAAACCCACGCAAATCTTTTGAAAACAAGGCGAAGGTTCCAGGGATCAGGTAGATCCGAAACCAAAACAAGACATAGTTGGATAGGTGCCGTGCCCTGGTCCAGGGATATTGCTAGGAAGTGCGGCACCGAGGGGGTTGACCAACAGGAGCTCGCTGGCTCTATGCCCAACACATGTGAGTAGAATTGCATGAATTAATATGCATGTTAATTAATTATTGCATTAACATAGATTAATTTGGAATTGTATAAATAGTTAAAAATCTTCATTAAATTATATTACGTTTGAGAAGGGATTTTAAATTAAAGTTAATTGTAAAATTCCTAAGGCTTCCCCTCGGGTGACATTGCTAAAATTTAATTGTAGGAAATTACCAGGACAAATTTCTAATATTAGACGGTTAGAGAAAATCTTATGAGAGCGTACGGGCTTCCCCTCGGATGACATATAATCAAATTTGACGACCTTAGGACCGAGAAATGGGATTCACTTAGAATGCGATTAAATTTATTAACCCCCATAGGGGTCCCTGAATTCTATTGCATGGCCAAATGGAGACCGACTATTAATTTCGTTCGTCATTAATTTGGTTTTGACTTATGGAAATTAATGGGCCTTAGAAAAGCCCTTCTCTTACAAAATGCGAGTTTGTAGGGCGACCCTCGTAGCTTGCATTCTCACAAGGTGTAATAAATGTCAGTGGATTTAAGTTAATGTTGTTTTAAGGATATCAATATTAACAGTTAAATTCAAAAGTGTTTAATCTGTAAAATTTATGTGCATGATTCTCAGGATATTCATCATGTCGTTCAATCCGTTGTCAGTCATTCTAAAAGAAAATCAGCTTACTGGTCCTAATTACATTGATTGGAAGAGGAACTTAGACATAGTGTTGACTGCTGAGGGTTATAAGTTTGCTATCACTGATGCTTGCCCGGCGGTGCCGGCGGCTGATGCTCCTGAGCAGGAGAAAGAGGAGTATGCTCGGTGGAAGAAGGCTGATGAGATGGCAAAGTGTTACATTCTGGCTTCTATGTCGAATGTTCTTCAACATCAGCATCAGTCTAAGGACACTGCAGCAGATATACTTCTCAATCTCAGGGATCTGTTCGGACATCAGTCTAGGGCTGCTAGGCAAGAGGCTTTGAGTGCTCTAATGAGTACGCGCATGGTCAAGAGCACACCCGTAAGGGCGCACGCCCTTAGGGTTATGGCGCAGCTCAATGAGCTTGAGATTATATTGACGGAGAAACCTAGGTTGATATTATGCTCCAATCTCTGCCGAAGAGTTTTCATTAGTTCCAGTTGAACTACAACATGCACAAGATGCATATGGCTCTTCCAGAACTGCTTGCAGAGCTACAGTCGGCGGAGGCCTTATTCACTCAGGCACCTCAGGTGTTAGTCTCCGAGCAGGCTGGACCTTCCAGGCCTCACAAGGGCAGGAAGAGAAAGAAGTCTGCAGGAAAGACGAAGGCACATGATGCTCCGGTTTACCAACGACCGGCCCCTCAAGGTATGGCAAAAAAACCGAAAGGAAGATGCCACAAGTGCAACAAGTCAGGACACTGGAAGGTCGACTGCCCTATCCTCAAGAAAGGTAACTCTCTCGTTAATGTCGTAGAAATATGTTTTGTGGTTGTATCTACCAGAACATGGTGTGTAGATACTGGAGCCACTGATCATGTCTGCAATTCTTCGCAGGGGTTCCAGGAAACCAAGCGACTTAGGGAGGGAGAGATCACCGTCTACATGGGCAATGCTACGAAAGTGGCGGTTGTTGCAGTGAGAGACGTTACTTTATCATTTGATAGTAGTAGTTTGGTTTTGAGAAATTGTCTTTATGTTCCTAGCTTTAGAAAGAACCTTGTTTCAGTTTCTAAACTTGTTATGGATGGTTTTTTAGTTTCGTTTGATGATATGGTTATTATTCGTTTTGGAAATCGTTGCATATGTTGTGGTTCATTAGTTGGCAATTTGAATGTTCTCAAACCAAACTCTCCCACACTGCAACATAATAATTTGAATAATGTCATAACTACATCTAAAAAGAGGAAGAGTCTTCGCAGATGAATCAAGCATATCTGTGGCACCTTAGGCTTGGGCACATCAACTTTAGGAGGATTCAAAAGTTAGTGGCCAGTGGACATCTCGGTCCATTGGAAGAGCACTATCCAACTTGCGAATCCTGCTTGGAAGGTAAGATGGCCAAGAGGCCGTTTACGGCAAAAGGGTATAGGAGCCAAGAAGTGCTAGGATTGATTCATTCCGATTTGTGTGGTCCTATGTCGATCCAGGCTAGAGGAGATTTCGAGTACTATGTGTCTTTCATAGATGATTACTCAAGATTTGGGTACGTTTATCTGTTGCACTGCAAGTCCGAATGCTTTGAGAAATTCAAGGAGTATCGGGCAGTTGTGGAGAAGCTTCATGGTAAATGTATCAAGTCACTTTGTTTTGATCGAGGTGGCGAATACCTCTTTGGAGAGTTCAGGACATACTTATCGGAAGTTGGGATTGAATCCCAACTGACTGCACCAGGCACGCCCCAGCAGAATGGGGTTGCAGAGCAAAGAAATAGGACTCCTATGGAGATGGTTAGGTCTATGATGAGTTATTCGAGGTTACCAGATTCATTCTGGGGTTTGGCATTGGAAACAGCATTGTATATTCTAAACATGGTTCCATCGAAGTCAATTGACACTACCCCTTATGAGATGTGGAAAGGGCGCAAGCCCAGTTTCTCACAGTTTCGAGTTTAGGGTAGTCCTGCACACGTGTTAGTGCAGGAACCTGGCAAGTTGGAGAAACGCTCGGAAGCACGAGTTTTCGTAGGCTATCCTAAGAGAACGAAAGGTGAATTATTTTATAGTCCTGAGGATCAGAAGGTGATCGTTTCGACGAACGCTAGATTCTTGGAAGAAGACAATATTATGAATCATAAGCCCGCGAGTAGACTAGTCTTAGAGGAGTTAAGGGGTGAAATTGATGGTTCCCCACCGAGTGCGCAAGTAGATACATCACATAATACTGCAATACGGCACACTGAGAGTGTACCAGTGCAGACAATGCCTCGTCGCAGTGGGAGGATTTCTCATTTACCCGACCGATGGATAGGTCTTGGAGAGTCATCGAACTCAGTTCCAGGAGGCCTAGAATCGAACCCAAGAACTTACGATGAGACACTCCAAGATAAAGATGCAAATCCATGGAATATTGCAATGAAAGCTGAAATGGGGTCAATGGACTCCAATCAGGTCTGGGATCTTGTAGAACCACCCGATGGAGTACGACCCATTGGATGTAAGTGGATTTATAAGAGAAAGAGAGGATCGGATGGGAAGGTACAAACCTTTAAAGCTAGGCTTGTTGCGAAAGGTTATACCCAGATCGAGGGTATTGATTATGATGAGACCTTTTTGTCAGTAGCTATGCTTAAATCCATTCGGATTCTCTTGGCTGTAGCCGCTCATATGGACTATGAGGTCTGGCAGATGGATGTCAAGACAGCTTTCCTTAATGGGAACCTACAGGAAGACATCTATATGCAGCAATCAGAGGGATTCATTACTGAAGGTCGTGAGCATCTAGTGTGTAAGCTTAATCGGTCTATTTATGGACTGAAGCAAGCTTCGAGATCTTGGAACATCCGTTTTCATGAGGTGATCCAGTCGTACGGGTTCACTCAATGTTCGGATGAGCACTGTGTTTACAAGAAAATCAGTGGGAGCGTGGTGGTGTTTCTTGTGCTTTACGTAGATGACATACTGCTTATTGGAAACAGTAAGAAGGAGTTGTCAGACGTAAAGGTGTGGTTGTCTAAGCAGTTTGATATGAAGGACTTAGGTGAAGCATGACACATTCTTGGTATTAGGCTCATTCGAGACCGTAAGAAGAGAATGCTGTGCTTATCTCACTTTTCATATATAGATACTGCCTTGGCCAGATTCAACATGCAGGATTCCAAGAAAAAAGGTATGTTACCTTTCAGACATGGAATACCTCTATCTAAGGAGATGACTCCTAAGACGTCTACGGAGATAGAAGAGATGAAGACAGTTCCTTATGCTTCGGCAGTAGGAAGTCTCATGTATGCAATGTTGTGCACTAGGCCAGATATTAGCTACGCCGTTGGCATGGTAGCTAGATAACAAAGTAATCCGGGACGGGAACATTGGTCTGCGGTGAAGCATATACTCAAGTACCTGAGAAGGACTAAGGAGTACATGTTAGTTTACCGTGCAGGCAGCTTGTTACCTCTGGGTTACAGTGATTCTGATTTCCAGTCAGATAGAGATGAAAGTAAGTCAACCTCAGGTTATGTGTTTACCTTGGGAAGTGGAGCCATTTCATGGAGGAGTGCTAAGCAGAAATGCGTGGCAGACTCCACCATGGAAGCCGAGTACATAGCAGCCTCAGAGGCAGCGAAAGAGGCAGTTTGGCTCAGGAACTTCTTAGTGGACTTAGAGGTTATACCGAGTTTGCCACGTGGTATCACCGTGTTCTGTGATAACAGTGGAGCAGTAGCGAACTCAAAAGAACCTCGAACCCACAGGGCAATAATAATAAATTAATTAATTCTTGATTGTCAGTAATCGAATCAATTAATGAACATTATATCTTAAACGTGAGGAGGTAAATCGAGTAATTATTATTGGAGTCTCAAATGTAATTTGGGCTAGGAAAAAGGAGTGCAATAATATAATGTTGGTGGCCCATTAATATTATTTAATTAATTAGAGGAGTGGACTTGGCCCACAGTTAGTCTAATTAATCAGGGTGCCCTTTTCCTAATCTCCTAAGGGTCCCTACTGTAGCTCTATATATACATCATTAAGCTCATGAGAAGAGAATCCCAATCTCATTCTAACGAGACACGCCCCACGCCTCTCTCTCTCTCTCTAGATCTCATTCGAGCTTTATCTTCTTCTTGTTGCTCCACTGGTACAAGTAGAAGAAAGGTGTATTGAGTAATACAGTAGAAGATCTGTAGGTAAACAGAGACGAAATATATTTTGACCTACAGAAATAACTGGAAGCCCTATTAAGACGTACAGCATACCCAGACGACCGTCTCGACGAGAGCTTTCCATCGCCGCTGAGATCGCAGCCGTCCAACGCCGCACGCGTCCTCACGCGCCGCCGGAAGCTCCCAGGCTGCAAAGTTTCGTTTTGATCTGTTTGCATCCGTTTGATCCGATTTTGATCTGATCTTGTTCGTGCAACCCAAGACGTGATTTGCGGTCAATCAATTGTGGTCAACCGTTCGTGGTCAACCAGATCTACATAAATTTTAAGCCGTACGTTCTCTACGCCAAACCTTTAGATCCGCTGCGCATAGGTTTACGTTTGCTATTGAATTCGTGACTTGTACATAACGAGATCCTCACAGATCCCAACAGCTTAAAGCAGCGACGCCGGATTTTTTGGGAGAGAAAAGGGGATCGAGAAAAAAGGGATATTAGAGTTATTGTCTTCAATTAGTAACTATTGTTTTTTGTGTCTTAATTTAGTCATAGAAACTAATAGTCACTCAATATAGAGATATTAATTGAGATCTAAGCTACATGAAATGAACTTATGTGTTTGTACCATATATTGTCTTATTTTCTAGAATTTAATGTAGCTGTGTGTTAAATTTGGAGAGTTAGATGTTTACTAGTTACGTTTTGTTCGAAAGTTTATTTAGACTAAATATACCATAAAGGAGTTTAGAGCCAATATTTTTAAAAGAAAAGTTAAAATTGATATTTGCATTAATTGGTCTAGATGCTCGTGGATGGGCTTAGGATTGAGTTCATTCTCAATTATAAAATGATTTATCTGATAAAGTTCAAGTAATTTCTTCAGATAAAAGATTGACGATTTAGTCATTAGATCATCATACTCCTAGCTTGCGAACACCCATATTCGTTGCCTTATTATAAAAAGTTCCATCTTGTTGGAGTCGTCTCTCTCTAGAGATCCCATTCCACTATGTTGGATTTGTTGTTCTTGCTGTCTTTTTCTTTTCTCTTGTGTTGTTGGGGGATAGGGTGTTAGGGTTTTAGTTTGAATTGTTTTTTTCTTTTAGGTTTTGGGACTAGAGCTTATGCGTCGTTGCTTTTGGTTTGTTCTAGGGTTTGGATCTTCTTTGCCTTGTCTGATGCTTGTAAGGGGGTTTTCATTTTCTTTGATTGCCTTGTTTTGTTGGTTCCGTTTCCCAGGTTGCTGAGCTTTGTGTTCATCCCTAGAGGTCTAGTCTTTTTCTATCGTCTTTTTGTGCTTGGTTGCTTGTTGAGATTGTGGACCAGCTTGCAAAACTCAAACTCTCGGCCAACGAGGAGAAAGGGGTTGAATTATCTAAGGAGAATGTTGTTGTAAGAAAAAAAAAACATAACGGATGAAGTAAATTATTGTGGTGGGAGTTCTAACTCCATTAGAAAATAATTCATCAAGTTATGAATTTAATGGGGTGAAATGAGGAAAAAACAAATGTATGTTCTCTTCAGTTGAAGAAAACAAATTAATTGAATTGTAACATAGGCATCATGTCTATTCCTATATAAAGGGCGGGACATTTGTGTTACAAGAAAAGAAAAAGAAAGAAGAAAATTTACAAAAACTCTTTTCTCTCTAGTTGAAAAATATCAAGTCTAGGAATAATTCCAGTTCACCAAACTTAAATCGATTTTGCCGTTGTATTTTGGAAAACAGACACTTATACGGAGAAAATCTATTTTAAGGACATTTTGTTTTCATAGGCCTCGGTATTTTTTTATTAGAAAGTCTTCTTATTTTTTATTTTCCCGATAAAAGTTTCCAATAAATGTAGCACTAGGGCTTAAGGATTGCCAATTAAGCTTAATCGGAAAAACAAATGGAGAAAATAAGGCTAATTTTAGTGGAATGCGTGCTACTCCTGGCGGATATTTGGAGCACTAAAAACGCTTTTCACTATCAGAATCCTAGGGAAAAACAAACTCAAATATATTTTCCAGCTGGAGGAGCATAGAGATAAGATCTTCAAAGGTAAAACTTGGTCATTCGAAGGCCAACACCTGCTGCTTAAAGTCTGGGGACCTGAATCTATGGAATTCACTGAGGATGATGAATACATCAAGATTTGGGTGCAGATTCAGATTTGTCATTACATTTGCTAACTACGGAATCAGGAATTAAGATTAGAAGGTTAATGGGAAAGGTGTTGGATGTTCATGTTCCTAGTACAGGGAGCACTAATGGCCAACTTCTTAAAGTGCTCATTGAGATGAAATTAAAGGATCTGATTCTCAGAGGAACAACCATCAAACTTGGGAATGAAAATAGGTGGGTGGATTTCAGGTATGAAAACCTCTAACTTTTCTGTTTATACTGTGGTAAAAATGGTCATTCTGATATAAATTGTGTAATTAAACAAGAAGCAATTAAAAGAACCATTATAAATCTAGGCCAATGGAGATTGGTTGAGAGCAGGCAAAAGGTTTTAGTGAGTTTATAAGTCATAGTAATCAACAAGTGGGTAGCCCACTGAGAAAGACTCCCCTAAGCTTAATAATAAGTTAAGTTTCAGTGTGGAGTTGAGTGAGGCTAGAGAAATAGAGAGTGAGGGTATTGTGCTAGTGAATAGAAAGGAGTCTAATAATTTGAATTTGGGGTCTGAGGAAGTCAGTGGTAGTGGTTCCAAAGATTAGTTGTTTGCTTAGACCAATATCTGGATGAGATGTGGGTCAAAGAGAGAGTTCAGGAACTTCATGTTTTAAACATATCTAATATTGTGCATGTGGACATTGTTCCTGCTTCCATAGGGGAAAGGTCAGTTCAAAGGAGGAAGACAACCTCTACTACGAAGCCTAGAGGAGAATCTGGTCTTAACTCTGAAACAATGTTAACTGATTTTGTGGGGATTGCTGAGCAAGATATTAAAGTGGTTAAAAGTCAGAAAAGAGGAACCTTACAAGAAGTGTTGAGGATGATGAGTTTAATTATGTTGAATCTGAAGATAAGAAATTGAAACTCTATGAAAATCAAATTGTTTTTTAGGTAGAGGAAATCAACCCTAACTTGTTCCAAAGTGCCCAATGAAAGCTACGGTGTGAAATTGTAGAGGTCTGGGGGGACCCTAACTTTTTCCAGTTGTGTGTAATTGGAGTTGATTGAATTTTAACCATTTGGTTTGCGGTTGAACTTTGTAAGTTTCGTGTTCTTGTGTAATGAATTTGTTGGTTTGCCGTTTTGGGGGGAAAAAAAAAAAAATCGGTTGTNTTTATCTACAAAATCCTTCTCTTTATTTTGGACCTTGTATTCGTAGTCAAAAAATGAAAAGTTTAAAAATTTCAATATTTCTTTGAGATGTTATTGTTACCATATTTAAAAGTATTATATCAAATTAAAGTCTTAGAAAATTAGTGGACGGAAACAAGGAACGAGAAAGTATGTTGGGCTAACGTATCACCAATCGCGAAAAACTCATTTTGCAGTAATTAACACATCATACAGTAATTCATCTCCAACTAAAAAGCTCATTCTCAAACTTAAATGAAAGTTATCTGTGAATCCTCCGCTGAACGTTAATTCCCAAAAAACCCATCCGCCGCTTTTCAATCAATTTGCCGATCGGCCTTCCCCGGTGACTTCTATGCTCCGGCCAATGGTCATCTCCAATTGCTCGAACCACTCCTGACTCGCGCTCCTCCGATGTTGTTGCAGGTGGTCAGAGCTGGGTGGTCGGGCCTTGGTTACAGACAAGCGCTCGTTACGTGGTGCGGCTCCTTGAGGGAGAAAGGCCTGCGATTGGTCGCCGGAAGGTCCCCAGCTGGAAGTCGTCAACTGCGCAATTCGCCTCTGGTCTGCGACATGAAGATTCCTCTGGATTGGCATCCCTTTCTCTGGTGGAGCTTTGGATGGAGTTTGGCCTCCAGTTGCCGGCGATTTGTGGTGGCGCGGTGCGTGGGTTTGTGTGTGGGGCGGGGCTTTGGCAGCGTAGTGGTGGGGCGGAGCTTTGGCTGGGTCCTTTTCCATGGTTGTCGGAGCGGCGGCGTGCCTCTCCCTCCCTCCCCTGTCGGCTAGTGGTGATAGGCGGCGGGGGATTTGGTTCTTCCGAGCTCACTAGTGGTGTTAGATGGGATCGGGTGGAACTGGTGGGGGGTTGGTTCTTGTTCGCTTGATTGGAGATGGGTCGATGCGGCGATTGATTCGGGGTTTGATTTCGACTATTGTATAAGCTTGATTGCAGTTTCGGTAGCCGATTTCTTGGCCTGGATTGTCTTGTGTCGATCGTTCACTGTTGGTTCGGGCTAGCTCGTTCGCTGGGGAAGGGCTTTTAGTTTATTTTAGTTTGTTTTAGTTTTTTTGTGTTCTTGTTTAGTGTTTTTCTTTTCAGTGTTGTCTCTATCTTGTGTTTTTGGTTTAGGTCGTTGGCCCCTGTGAGCCCGAGTGTCAAATTTATTATCCTGTTGGGATCCGACACTCGGGTATTACTCCGTTGGGGTCTTTTTAGTTGTTTTAGTGGTTTGTGTTGTTGGTTAGTTTAGTTGCGAGTGTTTTTATTCTAGCGTTGCTACCGGGTCTCTAGGCGGTCTTCTGATCTGTCCTCCCAAGTTGTTGGATTCTGTGTATTCAGCCGTTGGCTGCTGTGTTTTCGCACATTTGTGCATTTTGATTTATAATATTATCTATCGTTTTTTCTCGGAATAGTCCTTCCCACATAAACTTTTACAACTTTCAATATTACCTACATATTTTACAACTTTTCAATACTACACATATTTTACAAGTTTACAAACTAGATTTCGAAACTACCTCATATATTGTGAAAACATGAAATAAAATTAATTATAGATTGATAATATATATACATAAAAAAGATTTATTAAATTTAAAAATTATATTAATTTTCTGTTTATGTTGTACTTTATATACGTTGGTGCTATTTTTTAATTCTTAAAAATAATTTGGTAATTTTAATGTCTTTTTCTTCTCAAAGTTAAATTTCAATTTTTAAAGACAATATTCTTTGAATTCATTATCCATTTTTAGAATGCTCTCTTTTATTGATAATTTATTTTTGTATGAATCTTTTAAAAATATTGAGATTTATTTTGGATTGAATTTGTTATCGAATATATGTTCATTTTTATTTTTTTCCGGTAGAAATATTTAAAATCAATATATCAATAAGTGAAACCATATCATCCCAAAATTTACTGTATTATTAAATTTGGATTTATATGGCACACCTATTTTAATTTTTAATATTATGGTCCACCCCATACAGTTAAATTTTTTGGTAGTTTAATTTTTAATATTATCTTCCACCCCACATATTTAAATTTTTAGGCAGTTTAATTTTTAATATTATCTTCCACCTTTAATTTTTATTTTACATAGTTAAGTTTTTTAATATTATCTTCACCCCACATGTTTAAATTTTTAGGTATTTAATTTTGAATTTAATTTTTAATATTATCTTCCACCTTTTAATTTTTACTTAGTTAAGTTGTTTTAGTAGGAGGAGATATATTATATAAACTAAGTGGTGTTTTGCTAACAGTTAAAAGGGTTATTTTGCAATTCTCATAAACAAATGCGTTTGTGAACAGTTCATACACAAATTTGTGTTTAGATGAAAGGGGAAAATGGTGCGTTGGAGTTTATTTTTTCGTTTTTCTTTTTAGAGAAACTTTATGTTATGATACTCGGTTAAATTCCTTAAGGGGTCGTTTACTTTGNAACTGCGGGTAGCACCTCTGGAGGACTAAGCCAATTAACAGCATAATAACCACCAAAAAAAAATTCAGCAACAATCAACAAAGGCCACGGCTTAATTATCAACACATAACAGCAGCCTCAACAATACAAAAAAAACTAAAGCAACCAACACACAAACGAGTTTTCTTTAATCATGCTCAACCTTAAATGAACCTTAAACGAGTTCACCCAAGAACAACAAACAAAAGATGAACTTTGATTTAAAAAAAGAAAAATAGAAGAAATCCAATGAAAGTGAAGTCGGCAAAGACGAAAAATACACAGGTGAATGTAAAATAGATGGGTCCTGTAAAATACACAAGTCGGCAAACTCGACAATGCCGGAGTCGGCAAACCAGAAAAATACACAACCGAAGTCGGTGGGAATGTAAAATATATTACCTACACCGTGGACTGAAAACTGACGCCAACAAAGCCTCCGTCAGTTCCACAACAAACGACTGCTCCATAACCAAAATATTGCGAAAAAAACAAAAAAAAATACGAATCACATTCAAATAAATCTGAAAATTAAGCATGAAATATGTCGATTTTTTAGTTTTACCTGGCTTCCCGATGGAGATTCTCAGAAAGTCGGCCTTCTACAAATGCACGCCGCGCTGCAACAAACTAGGGCAAAAGCTCGAAGTTTCAGAGTTTATGTGGTAAGGGGTCGTAAATTCTTGCAAAATGAAGGGTATTAGCGTAACTTTGACAGCATTTCTGAAGGCAAGATGGGCATAGAAAATGAGGGATTATTTAATCTTAGGGGGAGGGTGGGATTTTATTTATCAGAAAGTGGAGGATAATCACATGACACATGGGCGCCACGTCACTGCTGTCCCATCCCAATCTGTTGAAGTAAATGAAGGATAGTGGAGGACTAGACTCCTTATATATCCTATCCTAACCCTCAAAGTAAACGACCCCTAAAAGTATTAATTGCAAGCAGATTTATAAACAAGCTCCTCAAATCTCGTAGATAAACCAATGCTCGTGTGTTTAAATGATTACCCAAACACAACTTGGGGCACAAATTAGAAGGGTAAAACTTTCTTAAACATTCCTAGGAATCAAAATTCTTGCAAACATTTTGCCACAAGCTATATCATCATGTCTGTGGATGATCCAACAAATACACTCTTGTACACAAACACACACACACACACAAACACTCATAT